TATTTTCTCTTTTCTCCTATTTATTTTCCCTCCTTGTCCTGACTACAATGCATGCACACACATGCACCTGATACAACAGCAACACCTTCTGCTAAACATTTAAATGAATGAGAGAGGGAGAGAAGTTGGCCGTGGCAAAATATATGAATGCATACATGCATTTATGCTCTTGATCATGGAATAAAATTCCTATATGAAGGGATTTGGCAAATGTTTAATTTTAATACCTAGCACAAATTCTTATTTTAGTGGCTGAAAAAGAAAAAACAACTCTTCTAAAGTCAGTAGAAAGTAGTAGGTAAAAGACATTCACCTCCGAGCTTCGTCATCTCTCCGTTTAGCATCCATCTCTTTACTTGGAGGATATTTTGGAAGACTAGAAGGTTCACAAGCATAAGGTTCTGTTGTAAAGAACTGCACAAGAAGAGTAAAATAAAATTATAAATGTCACACTTTTTGGATAGATAACTTAGAAATTAAACAGAAAGGCCATAACACACAAGTGTTAATATCAAACACTTTCCAATGAATTATTTCAAATTCCATGACAGTCAACAAACAAATTTCAAGCTAGTCAAACAGAAAGGAAAGATTTCCACAACTTAGTGGAAGCTAAAGCTGCTTGTGGTTTGAGAGCTGGGTGCACTTCCCCCCCCCCACAAACATAAAAACAAGCATATGCACCCCATATGGTTTGAGGGAGGTGCTTTTCACATGAACATGGACTAACATGAGACAAAAATTGGAGGTGAAAAGTAAAAAATGCCCTCAAGCACAACAAAATAAATAAGAATAATAATATGAGGCCATTTTGCCTTCAATTTTTAAGGGTTAGTCCGATTGGGGGTGAAGTGCATCTGCCCCAAACCACATGGGTGCATCTGCACAATTTTGTGTTTTGAAGGGCAAACTACACCCACCTCAAAATACAAGGGGCATGCACAATCTGCAAACAGCAATCATATCCTAGCTAGGAAAGAATCAGATTCAAAGGCCCTCTTGTCAATATCCAAACATCTACAGCAGCTGATCCTTCCTCTACTTTCCTGTTGTCAAATGCGTACTTTTTTTTAACCCCAAAATAAATAAATAAAAGCAGAGAAAATTTATTATGATTACCAATGAGAGCTTTTAGCCGAGTTGATAACCACTAACTTCAAAACCTTAATTCTTGATTTAAGGTTAGGGGTTCAAACCTCTACAATGGCTAAGCACTACCTCATTGGCTGATCAAATAG